TTTGGGAGTTGTACTTGCTGGGATTTATAGTTCACCTACAATCAAGGAGTGTTCTGAACCCCACCAATGATAGAATTGGGCCAAACTTCCCACACAGAACCCCCATGACCAACAGAAAATACTGTATTTTCTGATGGTCTTTGGTGACCCCTCTGATACCCCTTCACGATCCCCCCAGGGGTCCCGACCCCCAGGTTGAGAAACACTGTGCTAGAAGGATGCTCAAGATGGCTTCTGGCACATTCTGGAAAGATTCATATCTCTGACGAGCAGCTTCTCTGTATGATTTTAAGCAGAGGCTGGATGGTCATCTGTCAGGAGGGCTTGGATGGTGCCTTCCTGCCAGGCAGAAGGGTGTTGGGATGGATGGCTCTCGGGATCCTTTATGACTCAACGATTCCAAACATTACAAAGAATGTATTGTCGAAGGCTTTCATGGCCGGAATCACTGGGTTGTTGTAAGTTTTTCGGGCTATATGGCCATGTTCTAGAGGCATTCTCTCCTGATGTTTCGCCTGCAGCTATGGCAAGCATCCTCAGAGGTAGTGACCTCACAACCTCTGAGGATGCTTGCCATAGATGCAGGCAAAACGTCAGGAGAGAATGCCTCTAGAACATGGCCATATAGCCCAAAAAAACCTATAACAACCCAATCATCATCATCCTCATCCTCATCAATAAATGTTATTTATATTCTGCTCATATCCTCTACAACAGGCATCCTCAAACTGTGGCCCTCCAGCTGTTTGGGCCTTCAACTCCCAGAATTCCTGACAACTGAACAAGCTCGTTAGGGCTTCTGGGAGTTGGAGGCCCAAACAGCTGGAGGATGCCTGCTCTAGGGGACTCAGAGCAGATTACAGCATTTACAGCAGACATAGGCAAACATTCAGTGCCTTTACAATCACATACAATGCAGCACACAAACATTCCTGGTTCTGGAGGAAGTGCTCATCTCTGGCTCTGGGGAGGTGCTTTCGCCATTTTCAAGCTGAGGAGCCTGCATTGTCCACATGCACCACGGAGCAAGCGAGAAGCCAAGTGTGCCAAAGGTCATCGCAATGCGTTCATGTCTGTAAAGGGTATTTAGCCTTCTCACTGACACACAGGCGTTGTCAGTTCAACGTGGCTCTTTCCATGCAAACTTTTATGGATTAACCTTGGCCTTAGGCAGCATGCTTCTTGCTTCTTGAGTCTAGGATTTTGGGTTCTCCTAGTTGTGTGGCTGGCAGGATTGCTTGGAGCATCTCTTTGCCTTTTCCTGCCAAAGCAGTACCTATTTATCTACTCACATTTGCATTTTTTTGAACTGCTAGGTTGGCAGGAGCTAGGGCTGACAGATGGGAGTTTACCCCAGCTTGTGGATTCGAAACGCCAAACTTCAGGTCAACAATTTGGCAGTAAAAGGGTTCAACGTTTGTGCCACCACGGCTCTATAAAAGATGCCAATTTCTAGATCGGTTGTGGTATGCTGGGAACAAGAGTCAGTTAACTCAATGGCATTCTATCATTAAGACAGCTGCTGTTGTGACTCAGCTTGACTCTGAGTCTGAAGCTGACCCCTGTGGGCTTTGTGAGCCAGAGTTCCTTTAAGATGAGGAGGAGGAGGATGGGTTACAGATTTCTGTTCATGCTTCAGACAGGGTTGACGGAGAGGCTGCAGAAGGGGAAACAGCAAGTCAGTTCTCAGGGGGAAAGAATGTCAGTGAGAATGACAATGAGAGTGAATTCCCACACGGCCAGGTGGAGATGTCTTTGCCTCCTTTGCCTTCTCACGGTGATCCGGTCCAGCTGCTGGACCAAGCTGATAAGGGGTTAGAGAGCCTTGAAGATAACGAATTAATGAGCAGGCAAGATCGTCTGCAATTAAGGGTCCGGAGAAGCTCTCGCTTGGCAAGCAAGCGAGAAGCCAAGTGTGCCAAAGGTCATCGCAATGCGTTCATGTCTGCAAAGGGTATTTAGCCTTCTCATTGACACACAGGCGTTGTCAGTTCAACGTGGCTCTTTCCATGCAAACTTCTATGGATTAACCTTGGCCTTAAGCAGCACGCTTCTGGCTTCTTGAGTCTGGGATTTGGGGTTCTTGTGTTAAACTGTTTTTCATGGACTATTGTTTGACCATTGCTTAAAGGATTATGTTTCATGTTTTTGCCTTTGGATCTTGGGAACTGTGTCTTTGCATTTAAGCCTTTTTGGAACTTTACATTCCTCATACTATGTTTTGGAGCCCCCGGTGGCACAGTGAGTTAAACTCCTGTGCCGGCAGGACTGAAGACCGACAGGTCACAGGTTCGAATCCGGGGAGAGGCGGATGAGCTCCCTCTATCAGCTCCAGCTCCTCATACAGGGACATGAGAGAAGCCTCCCACAAGGATGATAAAAACATCAAATCATCTGGGTGTCCCCTGGGCAACGTCCTTGCAGACAGCCAATTCTCTCACACCAGAAGCGACTTGCAGTTTCTCAAGTCGCTCCTGACACGAAAAAAAAAAACCTATGTTTTGACTTTGCCTTTTCTTCAATAAATTACAAAATCTACAGCTTTGGTGTGGTGGTGTTTGGGAGCAAGGTGAAAACTACCCTGAGTTGCAAAAGCTGCATTCCAGCTGGGAATGTATCTCTCTGGTTATGGGGAGTGGTCTTCCTGTACTGTAGACATTGCATGCTTTTCTGCATTCTGAGTCCTTTAGCTCACTTTTCTCCATTGCCCACACATCTGTGGCAATGCATAGCCATAAGCATATTGGATACCTAAGCAGCCAGGGTGAAACCCAGAAAGTGTTTGTGGTCCATGGTCACATACAAAATTCCCCTTCTCGGTCTCTCTTTTCTTTTCTCAAGTTTCGAGATGTTGAGCGAAAAGGCTAGGCTTCCTGACACTGCCTTTCGTGCAGCTAATCTTTTCATTAGTTAGTTTGGATGCAGGCATTTCACGTCCCGAAACCAATTAGTAAGATTCCTTCGTTTGCAATTCCATGCAGCATGCGGCTTTGTTTTCCTCTTTTTAATTTAAGATAAACTCAGAGAGGTGCAGAAGGATGGGGTCAAGCCTAACCAGGGAAGATTTCTTCCCTAACAAATCCAGCCTTCATATTGTTTTCCTCCTAAATGGTATAATGCCCTGGGATAGACTGCTATCTTTCACAAACACAACAGCAGCATTAGAAGATCTGCCTACCAATTGTTATTATTTAGATATTATTATAACAGTGTTTATTTATACCACAATTTCCTCTTTTAAACTAGACTCAAAGTGGTTCGTAATATTAACAGACTTTTGGGTTGTTGTAGGTTTGTTCGGGCTATATGGCCATGTTCTAGAAGCATTCTCTCCTGACGTTTCGCCTGCATCTATGGCAAGCATCCTCAGAGGTAGTGAGGTCTGTTGGAATTAGGACAATGGGTTTATATATCTGTGGAATGGCTGGGGTGGGGCAAAGAGCTCTTCTCTGCTGTAGCTAGGTGTGAATGTTTCAACTGACCACCTTCATTAGCATTTGAAGGCCTGGCTGAGCCTGGTAAAATCTTTTGTTGAGAGGTGTTAAGATGTGCCTGGTTGTTTCCTCTCTGCTGTTTTGCTGTTGTAATTTTAGAGTTTTTTAATACTGGTAGCCAGATTTTGTTCATTTTCATGGTCTCTTCCTTTCTGTTGAAATTGTCCACATGCTTGTGGATTTCAATGGCTTCTCTGTGTTGTCTGACATGGTGGTTGTTGGTGTGGTCCAGCATTTCTGTGTTCTCAAATAATATGCTGTGTCCAGGCTGGTTCATCAGGCTTTTTCTAGCCGCCAGGGGAGCTGTCGCTTTCATCGTCCATCTGCGACACTGATGAAGCACTTCTGCATTTCCCGCATGCTTCTCCGCTGGAATGCTTTGCTGGAGTCTTCTTTATGGCCTCATAAATCAGTTAATTTAGTCTCCCCACACTTTAAAGTGGTACCTAATTTTCCTACTTGACAGATGCAACTGTCTTTCGGGTTGCAAAGGTCGACAACAGGCTACACGCAATTGGTTGGAAACCCACTCCAACCCGGGCTGGCTTCGAATTCATGACCTTTTTGGTCAGAGTGATCTTAATGCAGCTGACACTCAGCCAGCTGCGCCACAATCCTGGTGCTTTTTTTGGTTGTGCTGTTGTAATTTTAGAGTTTTTTACTACTGGTAGCCAGATTTTGTTCATTTTCACGGTTTCCTCCTTTCTGTTGAAATTGTCCACATGCTTCTTGTGGATTTCAGTGGCTTCTCTTTTGACTTTTAATCAAATCCAAAAATAAAGCTGCAAGTCAAAACACCAAACCTGGAGGACCAACTGTATCTGAAGATGGAGCAAAACATATTTGTGCTTCCCTGCCTGCGAAGTCTGATGCCAGGCGCCATAAGGCTTTCCTGGATACTTTACTTGTTTATCAGCATCATCAGCATCAATAAAGCTGCCTTTCAAGCCCAGCTTCTGATTTATAGCTGGCAAGATAACAGTGCCAGGTGAAAAGACACCGCTCCAGATACCAAAGAGGATCTGCCCTGAAGAGCGGCTTGATGAGATTTGGTGGGTCAGGAAGAAGAAAACGTATCTTGTCGACAGGACCTCAGATTTGCATCTCGCTTCCAAGGGAATGGGGCCAGTGGTCCTGTCGACAAGATACGTTTTCTTCTTCCTGACCCACCAAATCTCAACAAGATTTGGCTTTAAAAAGGGAACACACAGCTCAGAAGCCTCACGAAATGGTTGCTCGCTCATCTCTTGCAAACAGAGAGCCCTGCTTTTCAAATCTACCATCTGCGCAACTCGAAGATCCCCAAGGAAATAAGAGGAGCAGACCAAATGCCAGCCATCGCCTGGCCCTCATTCTCTCAGGCCGGTTGCTCTGGATTAAAGCCAAAAACAAACCTGCCACCTCTTTGCCCTTTTCATCAAAGGGAGCCGAAGGGGATGGCATCACGAGACGGAGAATAAATAGACAAAGGGATTGAGAGAAAAGCCCAGACCCGATCCGACTTACTTCTCTGGGTTGTCTGGGAACTTGATCCGGAGCTCCTGGTTCTTGTAGGACCTCTTCTCAAAAGTGAGGATCATCTTCTTCACGGAGCTTTCGTCCAGGGGCTCGTCCTGGACAAAGAGACATTTCACAAGGCCTTTGAGAGCGACTAATGCCAGCCCAGACCCTGGACACGATTAGACTCTGGCTTCACACCCCCATCTTCTATCCCATGCAATCCCCCAATATGCCCTGGAATTGAGCAGCCAGCTGTTAGGAATTGTGGGAGTTCAACTCCAAAACACCTGGAGAGAGGGCCGAAGTTGGCCCACGCCTGGCATAATCTGAGGTCCATTCTCCTTTTACCGGCTTAGGAACTTTGAAGGAGACCCCACAGCACTCCATCCCCATCATGGGAGACCTACCTCCTCCTCTTCTTCGTCCCCCTTCTCGATTATCTGCAGCAGCTTCTTCTTCTCGTCCTCCGTCTCCTCGGCCGCGGGGGGCTCCTCTTCCCGGTGGCGACCCCGTTCCCGCGCCCCCCCAGAGTGCTTGTGCCGGACTTTCAGCTCCTCCTCTTCATCTTCGCGAGACCTTTTTGTCCCTCTATTCGGCTGTAAGAAGGAAGGGGGAAATATAAGACATTGAGCCAAGAGAAGCCCCATCTCTCCTTGTAATGGTAGCACCCAACAGTCTAGATATCACCCCCTACCTCACCCCCTCCCAACCCCAGAGATCCCTCCACTCTGAGGACCAAGATTTGTTGGAAATTCCCAGTGTCAAGACCTTGCGTCTAACAGCAACCAGACGCAGAGCCTTTACAGCAGTGGCACCATCTCTCTGGAATACTCTGCCACCTGAAGTCCGTGCCTTGCGGGACTTATCAGCTTTCCGCAGGGCATGTAAGACATACCTGTTTCGACAGGCCTTTGATTTTTGATATTGTTGTTTTTAAATTGTTTTTAAATTGTGTTAGATTATAGCCATTCTTGTAAGCCGCTCCGAGCCCTAGGGGAGTGGCGGCATATAAGTTCGAATAATAAATAAATAAATAAATAAATGCATTGATGTTGCACACACACTGTGCATGGTGTTAATTTTATGAATCATATTTTTCTTTTTCTTTTTTTTAAAAAAGAATTTTATTAGATTTTATCACAATACAACGAAAGAGTGAGAACCATAACAATATAGGAAGAAAGGAAAAAGATAGAAATATGTAAGAAAAAAAAAGAATAATAAAAGATTAAAAAAATACAAAAAGCAAAAATCAACCAAAAAAGCACACACAAAAATTGACTTCCATTCCATCTTCTTGGTTAATATCTTTCTATTATCGAAAAAAATATTGAGTAAAAATGTATATCGTGCCTTCTATATTTGCAAATTTTCCAGATAGCTATGGAGAGGGTCCCAATTTGTTCTTTTTAAAGTATTACCAGTATTTTTCTTCAACAAAAAAGTCAATTCATCCATGTCCTTTATTTCCCTGATTTTATCTAACCCTTCTATGGGTGGATTTGATTCTTGTTTCCATTCTCTTGTGAAAACAATTCTGGCGGCAGTCATGATGAATGTGAAAAGTTTATCTTCTTGCTCATTTAATTGTAAATCTAAGTCTGTGAACCCTAGTAGGTAATATTCTGGTGTTTTTTTGCAAAATTTATTTTTAAAATCCTTTGTGTTTCTTCATGTATTTCCGCCTAATACTTGGATGCTACTCTACATGTCCACCACATATTTTTCATAACGTTGCACGTGAAACAAAGATTGTCTACGCTGATGTCGCACCTCAGGGTAGATTCACCTTGCTTAGAACACCACAGACACCAAAGCTGTAGGTTTTATAGTTTATTAAAGAAAAAGCAAAGTCTTAAACACAAAAGCAAAGTTGCAAGAGTTCAATAGTCAAACAGGGTCTTAAATGCAAAGGCAGAGTTTCCAAAGTCCAAAGGCAAATAGCATGAAGCATAATCCATAAGCATTGATCAAACAAGATTCCACAGCAGCATGACAGAGTCCCCAGAAACCAAGATCAAAACCAAAGTCCCAAAGACCCAAAAGGTTTCCCCAAAAGCCGAGGCAATTCCAGAGAAAGTTAACAGGGTGTAAGCAAAGTTGCACTGACAAAGGGTTGACTTCAATCAGATCGTTAAATATGTTTTCCTAGCATGAAAGCATTGTGTTGACCTTGAACTTCCCGTTTGTTAGCAAGCCGAGCACTTCGGCGTACCCTTAATTGCAAACGGTCCTCCCTAACTAAATCCCCATCACCCTCAAAGCCGGATAACTCATTATCCTGGGACTGGCCAGCCTGGGAATCGACAGGCACTGAACTCACAGATGGAGTGGTCGACTCCTCCACCTGCAGCTGTGAAGTATTACTCGAATCATGACCACCTTCTAAAACAACATTCCTTTCCCTGGGAAACTGAAACGCCGCCTTGTCTTCAGTATCAACACTGTCTGCCTCAACAACAGGGACATGTTCAGAAATCTGTAACCCATCATCCTCCTCGTCCTGAGGAAACTCTGGATCAGAAAGCTCAGTCTCAGACTGAACCACAACCAATGTTACATTTTGGAGTGTTTTGAAATTCCAGAGTACGGATGCTCAACCTGTATAAGATAACAGATTAGAGTTGTTGTAGGTTTTTTGGGCTGTATGGCTATGTTCTATAAATTAGGATTAGGGCTAGGGTTCAGGAACATGGCCATACAGCCCAAAAACCTACAATAACCCAGTGATTCCGGCCATGAAAGCCTTTGACAATAGATAGATAGATCTGTTTATTAATTAGTCCACTGACCATATCAACATAGAAGACCAGAAAAAAACCACTGACAAATAGTCATGAATTACTATCCTAAAACTTCTGTAATAGCTAACTAAAATAAATTAAAACACTGTAAAACTTGATTAAATAATAAGTTTGGGGAAATGGAATTAAATTACAAGATGAACACAGGGCGAGTTAAGTGACGAGTGTTTCTGAGTGGTGTTGTTTATTTACTGACCCAATTCTGGTGTTTTTTAAAAAATACTGCTAACCAGATTTTATTCATTTTCATGGTTTCTCCTTTCTGTTGAAATTGTCCACGTGCTTGTGGATTTCAATGGCTTTTCTGTGTAGTTGTCAGAGTGGTTCAGCAGAAACAGGGGAATTCCAGACAACAAACAACCAAGTGCCAGTGAACACCTCCCAAACAGGCAATGAAGGCCAGGCTATCTTTATGCAGATACCCCCACTGATTGACTTTGTGGTTTCGTGGCTATTCAATGCTATTCAAGCTTGCTAGCTGCAACATTCACACTTGCTTCAAATAGCAAGGGTTCTTTCTCCCAAACTGGACATTTCATACACACACACACACAGTGTTCCCTCGCTACTTCGCGGTTTGCTTTTAGTGGACTCGCTATTTCGTGGTTTTCAAAAAATACTAATTTAAAATACAGTGTTCCCTCGCTACTTTGCAGTTCGCTTTTAGTGGACGTGCTCTTCCGTGGTTTTCAAAAAATACTAACTTAAAATATATATAGCAGTATTTTCGCTGTTTTGCGGTTTTTTTGCTATCGCCGCTCTCCAAGGCGCTTTCCCTCCTCGGTCCTCCCTCCCGCCAGCCTTGAAGGGCCTTTCCTTTCTTTCCTTCACTTTATTTTAAGTTTCTAAAGACTTAAAAAGTGTATAACTACTAAAATAATGTATTGTCGAAGGCACCCCAGCCATTCCACAGATATATAAACCCATTGTCCTAATTCCAACAGACCTCACTACCTCTGAGGATGCTTGCCATAGATGCAGGCGAAACGTCAGGAGAAATGCCTCTAGAACATGGCTCTATAGCCCGAAAAAACCCACAAGAACCTACTAAAATAATGTTCTGAGAGTGCCTTGGACCTCGAGAAGATCCAACCAGTGCATACTTCAGGAAAAAAAGCCCAACTGATCATTGGAGGGAAGGATAGTAGAGGCCAAGATGAAGTGAGAAGAAAGGAAAGCTTAGAGAAGACAATTATGCTGGGGAAAATGGAAGGAAAAAGGAAGAGGGGCCGACCAAAGGCAAGATAAAATAATAGAATCAAAGAGTTGGAAGAGACCTCCTGGGTCATCCAGTCCAACCCCATTCTGCCAAGAAGCAGGAATATTGCATTCAAATCACCCCTGACAGATGGCCATCCAGCCTCTGTTTAAAAGCTTCCAAATGGATGGCATCCTTGAAGGGACTGGATCGACCTTGAAGGAGCTGGGGGTGTTGATGGCCGACAGGGAGCTCTGGCCTGGGCTGGTCCAGGAGGTCACGAAGAGTCAGAAGCGACTGAACGAATGAACAATAACAGCAAAACTATAACAATGTATGAAAATTAAAATAAATATAGCGTCATTACATTGTGGTTTTTCACTTATTGCGGGAGGTCCTGGAATAAGCAATAAGCGAAGGAACACTGTATGCACACTGCACTTGCCTCACTAACAGAACCTCTAACAATGCCAGCCACAGATGCAGGTGAAACGTCAGGAGAGAATGCTACTGGAATATGGCCATACAGCTCAAAAACCTCAAAGCAGGCTGGTGATTCCAGCCATGAAAGCCTTCGACAACACAAATTTCCCCCCTCTTTGCATGCATGCCCCTTGCTCCAGTGAATATGAATTTGGAAGAACAGGTTTAATCAGACTGAAGTGTAGTTCCATCTTCATTAAGTTCCAATTAAGGAAAAAAGGTGGAAGGAGGCACTGCTGAGTCCGGCTTCCCTCTGAAGCCAGCGTCGGCCGCTCCCGGTTTGAAATTGCAACTTGAGAAAGTTCTGATCTGCTTCGGGAGGAAACGCCGCGGCCTCTTCTGATCACGGCAGCGTACAATCTGGGCTGGCAGTTCTAATTTTCCTCCCTTCCACTCCTTCTACTTTTTGGTTAATTAAAAAGCAATGAGATTGCCACTGTAACGAGAGGGTAGGGAAGCATGGGGTTTGGCTGGCCGTAATGTGCCGCACCACCGCCAGAGCGACGACGGCTAAATTAAAACTCCGCCGCGAAGCCGACTCCATTTCCTGGGAGCCCTCGCAATCGGTTGTCATTATCAGCCGTTACGATCTGCTTTCGACCCCAATTGGGGACGGGGAGGCGGAGGGAAATCATCTCTAATATGCAATAACAGAGGCATTAGGAGGAATTATGAGAAGCGCGTGGAGTGCAATTATTAACAACGCCGACACAGTTGAACCTGGGCGCCAACAAATGCCTTGATAGGCACACACACTCACACACACACACAAACCCTTCTGAGTTCAGATCTAAAGGAGAGAACTTGCTAAGAACTCTACCAGGGCGGAACAAACCCCACAAATATAGTCAAACTGTGCTAAATTTGGGCAGCCAGAAATGGAGCAAAATCATTGCTCTCATTGTTACGAGAACTGCTCCAAAACATCTTCTAAAGGTGTATCTACAGTGTAGAATTGATGCGCTTTGCATCACTTTAATGCTCAATGCTACAGAAGCCTAGTAGTTGCAATTTGGTGAGGTCCTCAAGCACTCTTTTGCAAAACTCCAACTCCCTAGATCGCATAGCACTCAGCCATGTCAATGAAGCTTACTTAGGCGATCCCTCATAG